GGAAAGGAAGATGAAAACCCGCCAACGTGATCCTTTCCCGCTAAAACTAGCAATTTTTTTTTCAAAATAATTGAAATCGTAGCAGTGTTCCAATATCTCAGGGGCTGCCACAAAGAAGAGGGAGCCAACCTATTCTCCAAGGCACCTGAAGGCAGGACAAGAAGCAACGGATGGAAACTCATCAAGGAGAGAAGCAACCTAGAACTAAGGAGAAACTTCCTGACAGTTAGAACAATTAACCAGTGGAACAACCTGCCTCCAGAAGTTGTGAAAGCTCCAACACTGGAGGTTTTTAAGAAGAGACTGGACAGCCGTTTGTCTGAAATGGTATAGGGTTTCCTGCCTGAGCAGGGGGTTGGACTAGATGACCTCCAAGGTCCCTTCCAACTTTATTATTATTAGTATTATTAAATAAGAGTTCAGGTCTTGAACTGTGTTTTTGCTAAACCCAATTCTTACAGGCCACCTAGAGCACAATCCAATCCATCTCTAGATTCATGATAGCTTATCAACTGGTAAAAAGGCATCAGACTTTGGCAATGGAAACAAATAAGCCTAGAAAGCAGATTTAGGAATTGTTTTGAGCATATATACTTCTAATCAGTTCAGGCCTTGGTGCTCTCTCAGTTTGGCTGTTTACTTGCAGATGTTTCATTACCCAACTAGGTAATGTCAGCAGTGCAAGAGAGGATGGGATTTGCTCCCTGTTTATATACATGAACATCTGCAAGCAAAGGTCTATAAATGAAACTACTATAAATACCTATTCATCTATAAATGAAACATCTGCCAGCAAACACCAAGAATTCCAGAATTCAACCCTGAGCTGCAGAGATTCAGAAATGATAATATGGAAATAAGTTAAAAAAAAAAAAACCCACACACAACGGCATCTCTTTCAATGAAGGGTGAATACACAATTCGAAAATTAAAACATTTTAAATGCTTTAGACTTCCGATACTGGACAGGTGAGAAAGACATCTTGGGATGGGCTTCAATAAACAACGACAATAAACAATGTTTATTATAAACATAGCTTATAAACAAATACACAACTACGATAGGCTTCAAATCAACTGGAAAATTTTCTATTAAAAATAGCAACTTACCAAAGCTCCACCCCAGGGGAGGCTCAATTTTAAGGACAAAATCCCCCTAAAAAAGAAAAACAGAAAAAAATGCTATAGTTATACTGTACTGCAGTTCAATCCTTTATCTTAAATATTGACAGGCAATATTGCGATTAAGATTTTGGGCAGGGACAAAGAAAACTCCTGCAGGAATCCCTGCTCAGTCATTGACCTACCTCTAAATTTTGACACATTTTGAAAACTTATTATTTACCTTTAGAATCTTTTTCTTAAAAAAATAAATAACCATCTAGCTTTCATGAATTTCAGGGTGGATTTTCACACACCCCCTCCCCATCCATCACCCATAGCCACCCACAGAGTGGCAGGTGTTAAACTGAAGACACCAGCTTCAGTAAGGTTTCCTTTAAACACGGTCCTGCAACGTAATGCCACCTAATGTAAATTATTAAATAGCCTCTCTCACCTTATCATACAGAGGAATCATAAAGTAACCATTATTTGGAGCACAGTCAGTTTGGTATTTCAGGGTGCCATGCTTGGTGTACAATTTAACCTGCATAAGAAACATTGGAAGGAAGGAAAAAAAATAAGAATTATTCTGGCAGAGCAGTTGATTTACAATACTTCGGTCCTGGGCCGACAGGGTGCATCAGAATATAAAATAAATATAAAATATAAAATATACATACATACATACATACAGTACATACATACATACATATACATACACATACATATGTATATATATCCTTAATGACTGTAAAAATCCGAATCCCGGGCATATCTGTTCAATAATATACAATCCTCAAACTCTAAGAGCTAAGTTTGTTTTAGTATTGTAAATAGTTGCTTTTATTGTTTTAAATTTTTTAACAATAAACAGCTGATTTATATTCCTCCAATATGAATATATGAACTATATATATATATATATTTGTTTTCTGAGGTTTTCACGGGTGTTTATATGTGAGTCTTTGGTCATTCGGGTTTTCTCCCGTGTAAGATTAGAAGTGTCATAGCGACGTTTCGATGAAATCACATTCATCATCATCAGGCTTGTGCTTTTAGCTTTGTGCTTCATATATATATATATATATATATATTACTCTGAGAAGCACAAAGCTAAAAGATTATATATAATCTTGAGTTTGGTGCACCCAAACTGTATGTATGTATGTATGTATGTGTGTGTATGTATGTATGTATGTATGTATATACACTGCTCAAAAAAATAAAGGGAACATTTTAACATGGAACTGAAGGAGTTTGCGTTCCCTTTATTTTTTTGAGCAGTATATATACATACATACATACATACATACATACATACATATATATACACATACATACATACATACATAATAAAAATAAATGTTAATATTTAATAAAACCCTAACCCTAACTCTCTTTTTTTTAAAGAATACCACCAAACTTCCCTCCCTGCCCCCTCCATCCAAGTCCCCTCCCCCACTGGCCTACCTAGCAGGGAGGGCGCTCACCTCGATCAGGGAGTAGTTGATCTCGACGTCGGACCTGACGAAGCCCCCGCAGCCCACCACGATGTCCTCGGAACCCCAGGCCCCGGCCCAGAGGGCTCCGCACAGCGCCCACCACCAGCATCCCCACGCCGGCGACCCCCGCCGCAGCATCGCGGAGCCGCCCGTCGTAACACGCGGAGCAGCCGCGGAAGGCCAGCGCTGACTCAGGAAGAGCCGAGGCGCATGCGCCCGCCGCGCTCGATGGTTCCTTCGTAGGGGCAGAGCGGCAGAGCGGAAGCGAGCGCGGGACCAGGAAAGCAGAGGTTGCTTCGGTCCCTGCTAGCCGGGGAGGCGTTTTCATCTCGGTTGCTTCGGAGGCTTTAAGAGGCGGGACATTAAGATAATTGACAGAGGGGAATGCCTTGGGTTTTTGCAGTTTTTTAAAATATTGATTTGTTTATTTATGTCTATGGTGATTCTGTTTATTTGTTTATTTATCTGTTTATCTATCTGTTTGTTTGTTTATTATATTTCTACACCACCCATCCCATCTAAGTGACTAGGCGTTTTATAATAATAATAAAAAACCCACAGCAGAATAAAAAGCATAAATTAAAACAGTTAAGAACAGACTTAAAACTGAAATATGAAAAAAATAAACAAGCGAAAGGCGCACCCACAGTTTTGCTGGTTTGCAACTTTGCTCACATCATACCTGAATTTGCACATTCAAATTTATTGAATAGGGTGCAATTGCTTCCCTTTGCCCAATGTCAAGCCATTGTTTGCTTAATCATGGTTTACTGTTGAAATCACTGCTGATGAATGAATTGCAGAGCATTCAGCTGCTAGTCTGTCATGCAGCTCTTCCTGAAGAGGGCAGATCAATAGTTGGATCTGCAGGAGCAGATAATGATAGAGATTGTGGGGAAAATATCCATCCAATGCAGAAGGATTTCTGAACATGGGGTTGCTAAAAGAGTGCAGGTGTGCAGGTGGGCTGTGTTCGTACAAGCAGCCCATTTTGTGAATTTGCACACTGTGATGAACAGTCATCAAATGAGTTGTGTTCACAACAGGGATGTTGTAATCAAAGGGGTTGTGTGTTATTGCAACAAACTGGTCCCTAGGATGATGTGAAGCTTCATGATGCCATGCCACAAAGGTTGCAGCTTAGTTTTGGAGTCCCTAAAACTATTGCAAATATGTCCTAGAACTCATATTTGTTATGTCATATTTGTTATGTCATTTGACCATCGCCAGCCAGCCCTTTATTGGGTGAAATTCCCAACACAATGGACCACAACAAAAACTTCCGCACCTTTATTATTTTTATAAATAACTCAAGGCAGTGAACATCCTCCTATTTTCCCCACAACAATAACCCTGTGAGGTGGATTGGGCTGAAAGGGAGGGACTGACTCAAAGTTACCCAACTGGCTTTCATGGCGAAGGCAGGACTAGAACTCACTGACACCTGGTGATTGGCCTACAAGATCACCCAGCTGGCTTTCATGCCTAAGCTGGGACTAGAACTTACAGTCTCCTGGTTTCTAGTCTATTGCCTTCACCATGAGACCAAACTAGTTCTCAATAGCCACATTATGTGGCTGAGAGAGATTCACTAGCACAAACTTATTTGAATCTGGGTTTTCCTGCCATGGTTTTAGTTCAACTACCAATTCTTATTGATGTTCAGTTCAACACAAAGAAAGATGGGGAACCTTATTGTCCTTTTCAAGCTTTCCAATGTCTCAGCCAGATGCTGACTCTAGCAGTATTTACATTCTCAGCACACATGGTTGATTTATCAACTAAAGCAGGTCTCTAAGCCATTGCATCAATCCTAGACTGCTTTTCAATTTAAGAGAATCATTTACCAGGCTGGTTTATTGATTAGTTTACACCAAGCCAGGCATCTAACCTTCAGTGGACTTTACTACTACATACCCAAAGCACTGTTTGTTTAAAACAGCCCATCCCCATGAATGCCCTTCAGAGTGGTTTATTTAATTTGTGTTTCTGGTTTTCAGTAACCCTCCCTCACTGTATATTGCAAACCAAGATTTAGAACTGTACCGGCCACGAGAACCCAGCCACTGTGGTTGATTTATCAAAACATGATTAGAGAAATCAGGGCTTCATACAGTGAGGGAATCCATCTAAGGTGAGCTGGGTTTTTCAAGTTCTAGTCAACATTCTTGTCATAGGCTTCAGAAACAGCGTTGATCGAATTCTCTGCCTGTAGTAAATTTAGCATGGACTTCTATTTTGTAGACCAGCTGCAACACCATTCTCTCCTCCTTAGTTGATCTATGGATTTGCTTTTACCTGCAGTGGGTAAAGGAGCTCTGGATGGTGAGACTCCAAAAAGGCTGCAGAGAAGAGCAACAAAGATGATTAAGGTTCTGGAGGCTAAGCCGTACGATGAACGATTGTGGGAACTGGGTATGCTTAATCTAATGAAGAAAAGGGTGAGGGGTGATACGATAGCAGTCTTCCAATACTGGAGGGGCTGTCCCAGAAAAGACAGGATTGACTTCTTCTCCAAAGCAGCTGAGGGCAGGACAAGAAGTAACGGATGGAAGTTCATCAAAGAAAGATCCAGAGAAATTTCCTGATAGAACAATTATCAATGGAATGGCTTCCCTCCAGAAGTTGTGGGTGCTCCATCACTGGAGGTTTTTAATAAGAGACTGGACAACCAGTCTGGGTTCTTCTGCTCAAGCAGGGGGTTGGACTAGAAGACCCCTAAGGCCCTTCCCAACCCTGTTATTCTAGGCTCTAAATCCACACCCTTTCTGGAAGGGGCAGAACTCGGCACGGAAGCAAAGAAGATAAATATTGCAGAATGACAGCAGGCAGCAGGCAGATCCGCACAAGACAGAAGCCTCATCCACTGATATGAT